AGGACATATTCCTTCAATACGACAAGACTCTCCTCGTTACTGACCCAAGAAGATGCGAACCAAAGAAATTCGGAGGTAACGGTGCCAGAGCTAGATTCCAGAAATCTTACAGATGAACTAAGATGCTTTTGGTGCTAGTCACAATATTAGCTTATCAAGCTTAATTCCTCAAATAATTATAGATCATATTATGTGTTTAAGATATATATAATGTATAATTCTCATATTTATTCATAATACATATTTAATTAAGAGAATTAGAATACGCACAATTGTTTAAACTAAGTTAAGGTATTCTGAGAAAATTAAGTTTAAAGTAAATCAGCTGTAGGTTCGCAATTTCATAAAGCAAGTGGTTTTTTATCTTATCTATCTCATTCTACAATGAAATTATCTTCAAGACTAGTGTTTTAACTACTATTGATGATAGTGGAGTTCTACTAGTCTAGTACATCTTATAAGCCTCGGACTCTTCCAGCAACTGCTTCTTGCTCCATCATATTTAAGAACTCTTCATCGTCCATATAACCTTCTTATAACACTGGCTATCCGTCCATATCATCTTCGTCTCCATAGTCATTGTACTGATTAGCTTCGACCAAATAGACATTGCCATCCTAGTCTATTTACTCGATATATTAATGAGCCTCCTTGTCTTTGACTACATTTTTAAGTTTGGCATAAAGGTCTTCATTGTTAAGACCCCCACCTCCACCTTTAATTAAATCTTGGATATCATCGTCATCATCAAGCAAATCTGGCAATTACCCATGATGATTATCTTCCTCATCATCATCGTCTTCATCATCGCCTCTTTAATAAAGCAGAGGAGGATAGGAGTAGTTTAGTATTTACTTAGAATAAGGTCCTACTTGTTTTAGTTCCTCTAGGAATTTCCTAGCTTATCTGTCAATAATCATGTCTTCATCTTCATCTTTTAAGGGGTTGGTATCATCTCCCTCAATGTGAATCATCATATTCTTAATTAACTTATGGTCCTTTTCTATCTCAGAAGGAGAATCTTCGTCAATCAGATCTTGCTAATTTTAGTTTTGATAGTTTTGATACATTTCTTGGTTTGCCAATTCTGTGTCAATTTGAATTCCAGCTGGAGGCTGTATTTTGCCTTTTGCACTGCTCTTTTACTTTAACTACTACTACTATTTCTTCTTCTATTCAAAGTCTTATTACTCTTGTAATACTCTGTCCTTTTACTTTGCTAGTGCTGCTTCTCTCCACATGTAAAACATTACTGTTACATCATTTAATCTATGATTAGTATAGAACAGAGCTGCCATAGAGTTCAGTAAATTCTTGTATTCATGCAGATCTGATTCATTCTTAATTTTCCCTAATTTGAATTGCTCCTTAATGAATTCATTCTAGAGTGCAGGATTTCCTCCAATATTTTCAATTAATTTCTTTAAGAGATCCTCAGAGTCAGATTGATTGTCTTCCTCTTCATCCCCTTAGTCTTATCTATTGTGAATTTGATACTGTTATAATGAATGCTCTTCATCTAATACTTCGATGTTCGTTTTTTTATTTCTATTATTTTCACTTTATTCAATAGTTTACTCCCCACTTATAACTCCATTTATAGGCTATTAATTCTTGTAGACTACTGGCTATTGCTAGACAATTTCTTCTTCATCTTCCTCCATCTCATCACCATAATCACCTTCGTCATCCATTACAACCATTGGCATAAACTACTGTTATTTTAGATAAGGCTCTTCTTTTCTTTACTGTAGTCTGCTATCTCCTCCATGATGTCTTTTTTGTTCTTCTTAGTCATAATCTTGAACCTACATTTGATCCAGCTAGTAGTACTAAGGTTGCTGCATCATGTTTTGGTTATATTGATTTTGCTTTCCCTTAGAAGGATTTTTCATTTGATATACTTAAGCCTCATCATCTTCTTAGTTGTAATAAAGATCACTCTACCTCATAAGTTCGTCAATAGCAGCTAAATCTTCCTATGATGCTCCCATTCTATGAATGAGGGTGTTATACCTTTGGTCTAAAAACCTGACTCTCTCCAGAAATTCATCATTCTCAAGTCTTAATCTGTGGACTTCTTTCTTTGCCTCTCTTTCGCCTTATAACGCTTTCTGCTAATCCATCTTATACTGTTGAATTCTTTACTCCAACTCCATTGCATTAGTCTTATACCCTCTGTATTATTCATGCACTTCATTAAGTTCTCTTATATGCTTTTTAGACTCTTCCTCAAATTCTATTATTAATTTCTTAATCTTAGACTCATATTCATCCAGCTATCTCTTCATCATTAGTTTCTGATTTCCAACTTCTTTGTATTCAATTTCATACTTCTTAAGCACTAATCTCTTCTCTTCAACTTCCTACTCTAAAATGTCTTTATCCCTTTTGTGCTTTTATAACAGCATATCTCTATCTGCTTCAAGTTATTCAATTCTTGAGTAGAACATTTTGTGCTGCTCTTCCAGGTTTTTATTCCTTTACTCAAATCTCATATTATCTTCCTCTAATTTCTTGCTTTTCTATATAGAGAGTTCCAAAGCTTTTCTTTGCTAAGTGAATAGGACAAAGAGACTTTTCAATTAATTCACATTTTCTTGTTTTTCTTTTTAAGCCTTTTCAAGTTTCTTCTTCATTTGATCGTGCCGCTTTTTATACTCCAAAGTAAGCTTTGATTCCTCAGTAGCTTTTTTCTCTGTTTGCTATAGAGCAGTAAGTATTCATATGGTCATTAAAAATTTTATTTAGGATAGTGCGAAATTATAAACTGGGGGGACAAAGACTCAAATGATTTATAAATTTTTTGGAAGAAATGGATTTATAACTTACTTTGAGTTTGCGTGAAATCTCTGCAATTATTTCTCTGCTCGCGTTCTCCTTCTTTTTTAATTGCATCTTCTCAGATTCAAGTATTTCATAGTACTTTCGCTCTTATTCATCTAGACTGTATGAGAATTAATCTAAATCCGTATGTCTAGGTCTTACTTGATTTGATTGTATGAAACCATTCGATTCAATTCATCTTCACTATAATCTCGATGTTGCATCTTCTGTAAATTATTAACACTTTGAATGTGAGGTACATCAGATCTTTTCTTGTTGACATAAGGTGAACTGCTAACTCCTCTCATATTATTGGTGGGGACAGCAGCCGAAGTAACTCCGCGGAGGGGGGAAACAAATGAGTGTTGTATCATGCTATAGTTATTATTCATTGTTAATATTGTGTGAGTGTTTACAATATTATTTAACTGTTTGATTATTAACAATAATTTTAAATTATAAAATTCTAAGCTAATTTAGTTCTATTATAAAATATCAATTATATCAAAATTGAAAACTAGGAGATTACTTATACACATCAAGAGGTTGGCCTTGCTAGTTCTTTTTATGATGTTTCTTTCGTTTGCTCTTAGATGGAGCTGTCTTAGCCATACTACCAGCTATAGACTCATGCGTTCTCATTAAATCATTGCCATTCAATTGATGATCTTCTTGTACAGACTATTTCTTTTAAAAGGAGCTATTATTATTTTCGCTTCTCTTGTTCAAACTTATCACATTCCTAACATACTTAGACTGGTAAGTGCCGCTGCCTGAACTTATGAACTTGGAATCAGTCAAAGAGTTTCTGTGATTTGAAAACTGTGAAATCGGCCCATAGATCTGATGCTGCTGCCTTAAAATTTTAGATCTCACAAAGTTCGTTGTACTGTTTGGCTAAGTCTCTCCCCTTGATTTAATGCTGCTCGCTGATCTAGAACTAATTAATGAAAGTTGTCTGTCTCTTTATACTCTAGGCCTCTGAGTGCCATTCGATTTGCCTCTATTCATCAAATCTGGCAGGAGATTCTACTTGTCTCCAGACCTTCGAATCGTTGAAGCTCGCGGCTATGAAGTATACTTTCTTGACATACTTTCATTTCTAGAGTTCTCTAACTTCTAGCTTTTACCCATCACTATTCCAAATGTTTGTTATGTAAATTGATCTGTTCTTTAATCTTCCTTACTTGATAGCGATTCTTATTAATCAATTACCAAAGGTTAATTGCTATTTTTCATTATCCTTTTTGAAGAGGAAGCTAGATCATCTTCTTCTTCCTACTTCTCAAAGATATTGCCTCTACTATCAACCGCTTATCTCATCGGATCTTAATAGCTTTTATTATGCACAGCTCTTTTCTTTAATTTTATAATTAATCCAGTTGTCTTATTATTATGACTGCCTTTGATAGGAGATAATTTATTTTTCTAACCCACTAGCTTTTCAAGTTTGGTCATTACAAGAGGATTGTCAATGTAGCTCTAGGATATCTCTAGAGCATGTGCCTAGATATTTGACATATTCAGTTACTTTCTCTTTTATTACTACAAAATATTGGACTGCATACTATCCCTTGACCTCATTGAAAAGCTGGAGGTATTCAAATTTAGATTGGTAGTAGTTTTATTTCTCTGGCTATTAGTTCTTGAATTTCTTGAATTGAGTTAAAGGACTGCTGCCTGTTTAAACATAGTATCTTTTCTGGGAGTAGATTCCTAATTTGGATGGAGCATATTCTAATGTGAACTAGATACAATGTCTTGATTCGTAAAGTTTGATATATTCTTGGAGAGAGGCACCTTCGATGGTGTAATTATTAATGAGATCTCTGATTTGTTTTCAAGAAATTTAGACAAGTTTGAAGTTATTGTGGAATTATTATCCATTTCCTAAATCAATAAATCATAAAAAAACTCAATTAGATAATTACGAAGTGTCCTTTTAGGAATGTTGAAAGCTGTTCAAGTGAATCTGAAAACTTCGGATCTAGGTATTTGCTCTTGTCCATAAGTGCCATATACTTATAGATTTTCCTCATTTGCTTGGCCCACTTAAAATCCTCGTTAAAGGCTTCTCCTTTGAAAAAATGTATTATTCAATTGCTAAGTAGCTAATAAGACTTTAGGACTAGTTTATTATAAAACGACTCTTGCTAGCGTGTGGCGAACCCTGAGTACACTGACATTAAAATTATTTCTTTAATTAAGTTTATTCCTAGCGATCTTACCATTACGGGGTTTTGGGGTTTTGGGGTTTTGGGG